CCAAGGCCATCCTCCTCGTCTTGTTGGGGTTATAATTAATAGCCTAATTATCATGACCGTTACTATTACTATTGCCCTTATTAATTTTGTTGAAGAAGAAGTCGCATTCCCCTCCCCTTTCTTTTTGTTCACAAACTTTTATCCGTAAATAGTTACTGTATCCAACACCATGAGGGGTAAGGAGGGCTATAATGTTAAAAAGAACTCATTAACTAGGATCACTCACACTCCGGGTGTAGTTGTCCTCCTGTATGTCTTCTAGGTCTTCAGGGTCGTCCATGGCACACTTGGCAGGACAGACTGGTGGTACAGGAAAAGAAATGCACAAGCGTTAGGACGCTGTTACACAAACAGTTGAAACGGACAGATTTTACGACTTCAGCCGGCCCTTAGTCCACCCCTAGGGTTTCTTAGATCTAAGAGTGTGCCTAGGTTCATCATCATTTTGTAATAAGAAAATTAACTGCTTCGTCAGTCAGTCCTTCAGTCTTACGATCCATAAAACTAATAATATTCGACTTATACAGCCTGTACAGTCTATGGACCGTTTATCGCTGGCAAGGTGTTAAAATGACGTACTAACTCAAAAAAGCAAAATTTCGCTGTAGAGAGTGAGGAAAAAATATTGTTTCATTCATTTAACAAGTGTGCCTCACACATTGTCTGTGTGCGGAGTTTTTTTTTCAACATTTTATTTTTTAACACTCGGAGTTTGAATTTTAACGAAATATTTCTCGAACATATGCAACCGATACCACGACAGATTAAGAAACTGTAGCATGATACATACATTTTTTTGGGGGCACAGTATATTTTAACAGCTGGCTGATGATATAATACGTGCACAGTTTACGATCCACATAATGACTTGTACAGTGTCTGCTCCATATGATGACTTATACACTCTATGACCTATATGATGACTTGTACACTCTATGACCTATATGATGACAGTCTATGGACCATATCATGACTTAGGCAGTCTATGGTCTTTTTAACCTATACATATTATATTTGTGAAAGATCGTCACTTTGGCTGCCTAAAACTTCCGAATCACTTAACTTTCGAATTTGAAAAAAAAAAAATATCGGTGGTTCAGAATCATTTAAAAGGTGCACAGTTGTATTAAAGAGTCTGAAGTCACTGCAGTTTAATTTTCAGTTTTTTAAAATTTGTTTTGTTTAGATCTAATCTTGGTAAAGTCCGTCTTCTAAGATGCCATTGTAAACAAGTGAGGTTTCCGTTCACTAGTCATACGCATTGATTTCACACCTTTGAAATTCTTGAGTGTACAACCAGGAAAGCCGAATAGAGAATCAATAGATACATCTCTATATCTAGAATTTTTAATTTTTTGCACCTCTCAAGATTTATTGCTACTTTCCAGTAGAGTGTAGATATAATGGGCCAATGACTTTCAGTTCCTGTCAATGCACCGGTCTTTCCTTTCATCGAAAGGGGGCCCAGCTAGTTATATAATAAACGTGTACAGTATGTGGTCCGTGTAATAGACTTGCACTGTGCGAGTAAATGGGTCGACTCTGCAGAAGGCAAAAGCTTTGATCTTATTTCTTTGAGCTTCGATTGTCATGGAGAATTCAACAAAAACAGGTACTGCTGGAATCGATATCTGATATCATACTAATGGAACTAATTCCAGTTTTTGTGAACGTAAAAGCTCGGAAACCAAATGACGTTAACAAACTCTGATAACATTAAAAATCTACCCTTAATCCTAACCCTAACCCGAGAGAGAGGGAGAGAGAGAGAGAGAGAGAGAGAGAGAGAGAGAGAGAGAGAGAGAGAGAG